ATCCATCATTAATCCCTTTCAAGACCCACAGCACAGAAGACCAGAAACAACTAGCAGGCACTGAATAAGAATTTGGTTAATATCACACCCTACTGCCAAGCCAACTGCACAAAATAAATAAGCACTGAATCCTCTCCCCAGGGCACAGGGATGACCTGTGTGACTAACCATGAGGCCCCTCCTAGCCCTGCTGTTTAAAAATCCATCAATAACAGGTAGTTTATAGTGTAGCTGAACATAAGGGTCCTGCAGCTCCACACCAAACAGTTATTCTGAGAAACAGGAAAACATTGAGCAAGCAGGCTTGGAAGAGGCTGGGGAAAAAAACAGTCTTACGTGTTGAGGTATCGCGTTGTGATCCCATGCACCAGCTGCACAATGTGTCCGTGCCTGACGGGTCGGGGTGGGTTACTCACCACCAGCTGCTGCCTGGTGGAGTGAGACACAAGGGGAAGCGGTTACCCTCTTTCTAAATAATGCAACCTTGTCACAACCAAACTATCAGGTCAAGAAGATGCAGATATGGATAAAAGAAGAAATGGTAAGACGAAAAATTCAAGCAATTGATAGATTACACCATAATGGAAACAAGGCCAAGGCAAAGAAGAGTTAAGGACAGAATGACTCAGGGGACTGGTAACGGGATACCGACAACCCAGCCTTTAGGTCAGTGGTCTGAATCCAGGTCAGCCAAGAGCTAGTCCAGGTTATTCCCATCTGACAGCTGCTTGGTGGCTTCCGTGAAATGAGTAAGTGCTTCAGTGAGAGCTGACAGGTGTTCTTACCATCACCAGTGTCACTTTTGGTAGAGATTAATGGCTATGTCCATGAAAGAGACCAAGCTCAACTTGCCTCTGAACAGGCTGGGTGCGTGTTCTGGCAAGGGCAATACTGCAGCTGATGTAGCTGCTGCCTGGACTTGATCACTCTGTGAGGCAGCCTACACGTTCCCCAGGGCTTGTAAGAGTCTTGAGTCTGAATTTTAAGGAGATACCCTTTTCTGTGGTTCCCAAAAAGAGTCTGGTAGAGCCTACCCTTGTAAGGTTTGTACCATGGCCAAACTTTCCTGGTGTGGATAAGACATACAATGGCACACAGTCCTGCTGGCAGGGCTGTTTATGCAGTTCCCAGAGTAACGTGATAACCTACAAAAGCAACTTTTTGATCAGTATAAAATGACATCGCACAAGGGCTTTCACTGGCAGAGCTGCAGGAACAAAGAGCCCCGCTCCTAACTGACAGTTACATGGGGGAAATGCTCTGTCATGGGCACACACCTGAAACCTGGAATCCCTCCTGATGCGACAGGCTCTACAGTTCAACCCACATTTGAAGTACAAAGAAATATTCATTCTGCAAAAGTGATTTCTCCTCTCTTCTGAGACCTACTCAAGTTTGATAAACTCATCAAGGCATTTTAATGCCAAGGCTTCCACACTTCAAAAAAGCAGAATTTCACTTTCATGCATAGCACCTGAAGAGTTCCCATCAATGTCATTCCTCTTTAAAGTTCCCTTTGCGCACTGCACAACTGAAGCCCTGGTAGGAATAAAAAATAGAATTTCTGAGCCTTCAGTAATGCTTCTAACAAAATGAAGATGATGGGGAAGAGAGACAGTCTGACCAACTCTGCAGCTGAAATGATTTTCCTCAGGGCTTCAACCTCCATAAAGAGAGAATGATTATGTTCCATCTAAGCTAAGCACTACTTCTGTGCTTGCAGCAGGCTGGCATTTAAGTCCCTTGCATACTCACATTCCTGGATCTTTGACAATCCACCAGTTGTTCACATCCTTGAAGGGATAACACGTCACCTGCTGCTGGTGGGAACTGCCTCGGCCGTTATCGTACCTGAACAGAAGGTTAAAATAAAACAGGAATAGTGGAATAGTACATGTCTGTGCTCAGGCACAGCAATACAGACCTGCGTCAGATCACTGGCTCCTCTCTCATGAGGCACAGAGAACCTGTGCATTTACAGAGTGCTTGGAAGGCTTAATGGACAGACTGCCAGAACCCGAACTAAGGTATCTGGACTGCCAGATGAACCAGGCTGTATTTTCACAGGAAGATTAAATAATAAGCCCGGGATTCCTCACCTGATGGGATAAGTGTTCTTGTGAGAATGGAGCCAACACTGCATGGGTTTGCCCAATACATTCCGCAGAGTAATCTGGGAGCCATAAGCCACCTCCAAGGGTTGGCCCTGAGTGATTCGAGCTAGCCCACCCTGCAAAGCATAATGTGAGGATGAATGGAAAGAAGAAACTGCAACCAGAAGCTGTCTAAATTCTGGTCACTTCTCACTTAAACAGCAGTAGTTTGGCCAAACGCCTTCCTGTCTGGTTGTATCTAAAAAAAGTTCATTGGTAAAAAGCTTTCCACTTGCGACTAAGATTTCTATCCTTTTTTTTTTCTTTAAATTAAAGCAGCATTACAGCACAAAAGCAGAAAAAAATTATAAAAGGAATAAATCTGCTGAATCAAAATAACAAGAGTGCAGGTGCGACCACATTTCTTTTACCTCTAGGCTGGCTTGGAAAGCACTTGTCATAATTTGGTCGTGAGGCCCAGAGCGGTACAGCAAAGCCAAGTGAACATAGAAGAAGGACAGGTACATTGTCACTGGGATAAGGATGAGGGCCAGCCCCCGAGCCAGAAAATGGCACATCAAGGAAACCTAGAACACAGATAATTCACTGTTTTCATGCCCCAGATACTAAAAATACTGTTGCACATTACCTGTTTTACAAATTCTACAATATGAGATATGCAAACTATGATATGGGACTGTAGTATAAAAAACTGCTACAAGTAGAACTGTGACCTGTAGTTTTGGAAGTCTCCCAGGTGTTTCTTGTTATGAAGGGTTACACATGATGTATTCTGAATGCTGTGCTACCTACATTTGACAAATTTTGGTCTCCAATCATATGCCAGAAGTGGAGTCCTGCGATGACCAAAAGCAGCATGTAGGTGAACAGGCCCATATATTTTACTCTGAGAAAAAGAAAAAAATCAACTGGTTTAACACCTATACACATCTAAGACTGTTACTTAATGCACAATGTATACATTCAAATTCTCTCTTGAACAGGATGCATTTAAATCCAAAGGCTTTCATTCATGACAAGTTCAGTATGCCAATATACATGCACTTTAAGGCTTTGACTCTAGAAGGCATAATTTGTTTGCTAATTAAATTAAATAACTGGCAGTGACAAAGGCAGAGAACCTTCTCGGTAACAAGGTGACAGATCAGAAAGCACTGAGTCATTTAATTCAGACTTACTGAAGCTTGAGAGGACTATGAAGGAGGGGTGAAATGCTGACGCTAACTTATAACATAAAGATATCTCTGAGAAATACACTTATGTTCTTCCCAAGATAGTACTCTTTAATGCCTGGCATCACTCTCAGTAAGTTGACATGTTTACTTCAGGAACAGTCTGTTGGGCAGGAAAGTCAACTTACAACAACCACGTGTTGGTGCTTACCCAACTGCACACGAACAAGCTACTCCAGTCAACAGAAGCCAAAACCACCAGCTTCCAGAGAAGGCACTTAAATAAAAGGACAAAGGAAAGAATGTTACAATGAGATCTGAATAAATGCTTGGATTTCTAACACACTTGCTTGAATACAGGTAATTTAACTTGGGAAAAAAAGTCTGCAGGACACCACTAATTCTGACTCCACTCAGAGGTACCTCATACACAACTTCCATGCTACCAGGAGGGCAGGATCAGAACCCAGGGGCAGGTCAGCCCTTGAGGTGCAGGATCCATTCCCAGGTCCACCTTTCCACAGAGGATTCACAAAGGGAGGACATGGAGGAATATGGATGTAGGTGGGAGGAAGAGAGATGCAGAAGGAGGTTCATCACTAAAATACCTGATATGGGGAGTTCAAGGGGTGGGGAAAAAAAAAGGATAGGAAGCAAATCCTGGAAAAAAAAAAAAAAGAGTCCCACTTCTTCACATGTTCCAGAAAAACACACTCCTAGAATTTGTTGCTTGTTCACTCATGTCCTTCTAGGCTTGGGATATCTGAAAACACTGTGCTCACATCTACTGGATGAACCACAAATACAGCCAAATTCAGGGTTGCTTTATCCACATGGCCAGAACTGCCAAAAGTGTGAGCAGAGCTAAAGGGGCAGCGCTGACAGCAGCTGTGCTGGCAGAACTCCCCTCGCAGAGATAAAAGCGGATCCGCTTCAGAGCAGTGCTCTGGAGTTGAGTGCAGTGGGGTTCAGTGGAGTAGCATGGGATAATATGGCGTGTAGGAAGGTGACATGGGGAAAAGTGAAAAAAAGATGACAAACGGCACGTGGTAAAGAGGAAGAAGGTGAAGCAAAACTGGAAGAATGTGGCATAAAGTAGCCCGTGACATTTGACCTTGTGGGGTGACCTTTGACCATTTCAGCATAACCTTGGCCTTTCGGGAAAAGTGGTATAATTGGCAAGAGAGTGGTGCAAAGTGGAAGAGAATTAGGTGGATTAAAGTGGCATAAGGAAGTACACAGTTAAATGGACTAAACTGGAAGAAACAAATCTGGAGTAAAGTGGAGAAATGGAGGGTCAATGGCTAAGGACAGAACCATGGTGAGGGTCAAAAAAGCCAGGTCGAGCACAAGGTTCAGGCTACAGATCCAAGATCAGGTCCGGAATCAGGTCTGGGGTAAAGGTCCACAGTCAAGGACCGGAGTCAGCTTCAGGGTCAGGTCCAGGGTAATTTCTGGAGTCAGGTCCAGAGTAAAGGGCCAGAGTCAGAATCTGGGGTCAAGATCCGGGGACAGATCCCGGGTCAAGTTCCAGGGTCAAGTTCGGGCTCAAGGTCTGGAGTCTGAACCTGGGTCAAGCTCTGGAGTCAGGTCCAGGGTCTAAGTCTGGATTCAAGGTCTGGGGTCAGGTTCGGGGTCAGATCCGGAATCAAGTCCATGGTCAAGGTCCGGGGTCAGGTCCGGAATCAGGTCCAGAGGCAGCGCCAAAGTGAAGGTCCAGGGTCAGGTCTGGGGTCAACGTCCGGGGTCAAGGTCCGGGGTCAAGGTCCAGGGTCTGGTTCAGAGTTGAGACCGAACTGGGTCTGGGCACAGGTCCAGGATTAGGTCTGGGGTCAGGTGCGGAGTCAAGGTCTGGGATCAGGTTCCCAATCAGGACAGGGGTCAGGTCTGGAGCCGGATCTCAGGTCAAGGTCTGGATTCAAGGTCTGGAGACAGGTCCAGGGTCAAGGACTGGGGTCAGGTCTGGAGTCCAGGTCTGGGTTCAGGGTCCTCTGTTAATGTCCAGGGTCAGGTCTGGGGTCAAAGTCCAGAGTCAAGGTCCAGGGTCATGTCCTGCGTAAGTGTCTTACAGTGTAGGAAATTGGTACAAATTAGAGTGGTGTAAAGGAAGATCAAGCATTGCGGAGTAAAAAGTGCTAAATTGTCAGAAAGCAACCTGGAGTAAAGTGAAGCCAAGTGGTGGGTCATAAAGACATGCACCTTGAAATAAAGGGCTCTGGAGCACACTGGAATTACATCCAGAAAAACGGCAAAAAGAGTAAGGAAGTGTTGTAAAGTTTAATGGAACAAAGTGGAGCAACGTGTGGGACATCAAGTGCAGTGCCTTGGAGTAAAGTTGTCTCAAGTACAGTGGAATGACATGTAGGCCTAAAATGCAGCAAAGTGGGGTAATGTAGAATCTCCTTCCCTGGAAATATTCCAAACCCGCTTGGATGCAATCCTGTGTGCTCTAGGTGACCCTGTGTGTGCAGGGGGGTTGGACGAAATCATCTCTAAAAGTCCCTTCCAGCCCTTACCATTCTATGATTCTATGACAGTGAAGTGGTGCAACGTGGCATCTTAAGGTGATAAGTCATGGAATTTACAGAGAGAGGAAGTGAGTTTCAGAACAGTGGAGTGACTTACAGAAAAGCAAAAAGAGTCTGTGATAAAAAGAGTCATCAAAAGAATGCAGAAGGATCAGCAAGAATACAGCTTTACCTACAGCTCTGTGAATTGCAGAACTTCAGGAAGCATAAAACTGCAAGCAGGATAAAAAATATCAGTATTGATTCCAGAAGCATGAACCTCGATTGAGCGATCAAAGAGTTCTCTGTTGAAAAAGATAAATGGACACAAGATTATGGACTCTTATCTGGAGTCGAGGAAACTACTAGGTAAGTGCTCTACCTCAGCAAATAACATGATTATGCAAAAGAATAGGCTACCTCTGTACAAATGGCCCATCTATTTTCTATTTTGTTTTGAAAATGAGCCTTGAATGCCCCCCTCTGCACAACTGTATGTACTCTTCCTTTTACAGGCTCTAAAAATTTAAAGGGATAGGGAACCTCCCTCTTTGTATGAAGAATGTGACCTAAGGGATCAATCTTACCTAGGAGAATCAGAAGAGCAGCTCCAAGTGCAGCACAGTGGGAGAAGTGCATTTCTACCAAAATCTGGTATGCTAAAGGCACACAGAGGGCACCAGCCAGTGCTGGCAGGAGTCGCAAGGACCAAACAGGAACATTCAGGCTATATTCTAGAATAGGAGAAAATAATGATAAAACAATTTGGAAACTGCAGAGAACCTGGTTCAATACAGAACTCCTTATGACTACAACAACTTGTTGAATGTAATTCATTGTCTAGCTTGTACTACTTAACTACTTAACTGTTTTAACTGATCCAAAACTTCAATTTGCAGAGCAACTTAGCAACATAATGCCTTAAACTTTCATGTAGAGGTCTGCAGGAGCCCTAGTTAAGAGAACTAGAAATAAAACACTATTTCCACTAGTCAGGAAAAAGAAATCTGTCAGCTGCTCAAACACTGCTTATTTTCTTTTAACAAATGAGAAAGCTAAAATCAGTTCTTACCAGCTCCAATTCTGTTCCATAGGAAGTTTCCATCAAATCCCCCTAAGTAACCTAAAAAAAAAAATCAGAATTTCCAGTGTCAAAATTGGAGCCTAAGAACAGGAGCTAAATAGGCTCTGGAACCATTTCACTAACACACAGCTCCTCCACAAATAGAAAGCCTCTTTCCAAAAAAATGGCTCCTCTCTCCTACTGTTTTGCCTCTAACAGTGCTTGATAAACTGTAGACGCATGAAGAAAACACACTGGAAACAACAGACTGTCAGTGAAAAAGGTGTAGGTAGATTTAATCCCTCCTTCCCATACACAGACACTTGCACATTGTGCAAGTCTCGGTTACACCAAGGAACTCAGGCCTTCCACTCAATTTGCTACTTAATATTTCTAGTCACTAGCACTTCTCATCTCACGATTCTCTTCATGCAAATGCCTGAATAACAATGAGATAAGAGATACGTGGCACTGTCACTTCCCAAATACTCATGTTATAGCCCTGTTACGATACTACATAAGGGAAACCTTAGCGCTATATCAGCATCTCTAAACTGCCTTTTATTTTGCCCCAATGACATGAACTGACAACTTATATTTAACAAGAACCTCTCTAGGAAGAAATGCCCTACCTCCCAAAGCCAGCAGCATATGGCCAAAAGGAGGGCCACTGTCATCCACGAAGAAGATTCTCTTCATGTAGAGGGAAACGAACTGGCCATAATAAACTTCATCAAAACTGAAACACAACAGACAAAAAACACGTTAAGTCCCACTGGAAGCACCTGGCAAGATACAGGGATACTAGGGAAGGAAATCCTGGTTTGTTGGCAGAAGGCTAAAAATACAATACACACGTTTTAAGAAAAGGAATCTGTGGATCAAATAGGAAGCAAAACATTTTACTCACACTACAGCCCGGGGATAGGAAAGCCCTCGGAGACGGCTTATTAAACCCATCACAGTCAATGCCAAGAGGTTCATATTTATCTCCGCTGTGACCACAATTGGATTCTTCAGAAATCCCAACATTCTGTCAAAGGTCTGTTCAAGAACTTCTAAGTAAGAAAGAATCGACAGCCACCCTTTTGCTATCTGAAGAACACCTGACAGAAAGCAATGCAACACTACTTTTGGCTACTAGTAACTGATGGTACCCCAACTTTGTTTCTTGGCTTGTGCATATATGTTTTCCACTGTACAGACAGCTGTAACTCTTAACTGTGAAAAACAATGAAGTTACTAAATTTCCCCCCCCACTACAGCTTAATTCAAGAACATATTCTGCTGCTCTGTGTGCTATGCAAACCTCCCAGGGCAAACTGTGGTGCCAATGGTACACAAGAGAGATGCACAGGCGCTAGGCTGCTATTATGGCTTTTTACTTATTTATTTATTTTCTTGGAAACTACATCTCTGGTAGGTCAGGGGAAACCCACAAATACTCTCTTGCAAAGCTGGCATCTCCTAACTGGAAGCTACTGGGACAAACCTTTCTGCACGGCTGGGATGAGGTGAGCACAAGGCAGGACACGCGTGAGGTGCCGGCCTCCTCCCTTCTCCCCACCTCCAAACGCGAGTCCTGTCACCTCCAAACACGAGTCCTGTCTCGCCTGCCCTGCGGAGCTGCCCTCTGCATAACCCCCCTCCTGCAAAACTGCTCCGCACCCCTCGCCCTTGCAGCAGAGCAGCAGGAACCCCCCACCCCGAGCCGTGTACCCCTCTTGAGCCCGTCGGGGTCAGCAGGACACTG